AGAAATAGTGATTTCATAGTGTGAAAAGTAAACAACAGGTTTGCTTCAAAATTTAGATACTTGACACTTAAAAGGCTTTTACTTTAATTTAAATGAATGTGCTGCTAACTTAAGAGTTTACTAAATGGATGTCAAATCATTTTTTGTAAGTTCCTATATTTAGAAACACTTATGCACATGATAACTGTTCTATGGAAAGAGGAAGCCAAGGAAGCTCTTTGTACAGAATAGAAATATACTGCATAGAATAAAGAAAACAAACAAAATTTTTAGTATATTTACCATGTATCAAATGGGATTTTTTTTTTACCAGATCCATTCAGAACTTGAGATAAATGCATAGTTATTTTAGGTAGTCTAACTTGGCAGTTTCAACATGGCAACTGGTGTTCCATAAGCTACACTGAACCATCCCCTGGTAACCACTGTTTTCAGAGGCTGTATCTTGATGCATGCAGTGAATGACACAATGTTAGTATAATTTCCATTTTTGAAAATGAAACAAATGTTAGACCGTATGAAGTTTTCATCTTATTAAAGACCATGACATGCAAATATCAGGTACACTGTACCAAGACCTTCACCAACATACCATGTAACCACACAACAGAAGTGGAATAATGTTCATAATATGCTAATATATAATGTGCAAAATAATTCCACATCTTCCATAAATGTTAAATTCCAATAATCAATATAATTTTAAAAAATGATTCTGGTTTCCCCAAAAGACAATTATATGTCACTGAAGCTAAAGAAAACTGTAAAAAAATATATATGTAAATTTTCTTACAGTAATTGATAAACAGTTAAAGTCAAGGTATGTAGGGGATGATCTGGCAACACTTCAGTCTTGGGAAGGAGGTGGGACACTGACATAACGTGTATTGTAGGAGTATAAAATAACATCATTAAATTTGTACAGTATGTACAATCCTTGTAAATGTATTAGGACATGAAGTAAAGTTTCATTAATATATACATTACCAGTTACATAATATTTTAAGCACTAAAAATACATATAGATTGTTCAGTGTTGAGAGCTTTAGATAACAAGACTGTGGCTTTTTGGTACACAAAAGATAAGCTACAACCATGTACCAACATAATATTATAAGAACATGGGTAAAATTACAAAGATGGTTTTTGCAAAATCCCGATAAACTAACCATCAGATAAAAAAAAAAAAGTCCCATGATGATCAGTAAGAACCTGCATTACACCTCCATAATACCAACTTTAGCTTAATCAACAAAGTCACAAGTTGAAAACGACACATTGCATCTATATTACTAATCAGTAATTGTGCATAGACCCCCCACACACAATCAGATCACAATAATCTGGATAATGTGGCAAAACCCTACAGTACTGACCATGCCACAAAATAGCTGCCACTCATTGCTGGGTTCCATTTGGGAGGATGTGAGTTAATACTAAGCTTTAAGTAATAGAGAAACAATCTTCTTCAACCAATCTTTACCATCTTGAACACAAATGAGTAGGAGATTCTGCTTCAAACCTTGCTAATTTAATGCCACTTGTTTTACGACTTCTTTACACAGTCAAGAACAGATTTCAGTGTATTTCCCACATATTACATTCTTCTGTAACACATGTGCTTTGGTGAAAGACCACTCACCCTCACCTTAAAGATGTTCTACATCAGGCCACTAAGAAGCCCACAGAGGACTTTATATAGAATTAAATTTTCTAATAAATATTTCACCTCTATTCTTGTAAATACTCCTAGATAAAATTATATTATTTCTAGTATTGTATATTCATCACACTTACTTCATAAACATTCCAGGTGACAAACAAATGACTGTAACTATAAATTCAAGAAACATAATTAACAGTCCTATTATACAATTCCTTAAAATCTCACGATTTTGAGTTCTTTTCCTCCTTCTTGGTCTTTTTTTCCTCATCTCCTTCTTCTTCTTCCTCTTCTTTAACTTCTTCTTCTTCTTCCTCCTCTTCTTGTTTAAAAAACTTATCATATATACTAAGTGTAGTTTCAACCCAGTCAGCTTTACTCGCCTCTTCAACAATACTGAACACAAACTGGAGGCATCTGGAAGGAAAAGGGGATGTGAAATTGTATAGTCTACAAATTTTGCTAACTACTACTGAACACTTACTATGAACTTCTGTGCTTATTAAGGGGACCATGACCATGTTCCTCATAGAAAAAAAAAAAACAAAAAAAACTAGATTGTGATGGAGTCTGGTAAGGAAATAATAAAAATCAATGACACGGTGGCCTTCTCCCCCCCATGAATACAGAAATCACTTGATTGTCAGACGTATCTAATGAAATAATTTTTGGAATTTTACTGAAAAATAATGTCAAAATCATTTGCTCATAGAACTCACTTATATCAACATCTGGCAACTCTCTAGTGTCTATAAGCGTCTGTGTCGTCTGTTTACCCTTTTCTTTAATTTACGAAAATATCTTACATTATCTTATTTTGCTGTTACTAATGTTTATAACATTATAGTAATTATAATGTTTATGATAAAAATAACCATCGATATTCATAGCACTAGTAAAAATACATTTTCCCGCCAATTCAAGTAAAGGTGAAATCAGGTAAGGCAGAGCCATCTAGTGTAGAGACATTTCATTAAAAATTTTAAAAATTAGCACAGCATTTTCCCATTTTTTGTTCATTTTTACCCGGCGCAAATGGGGGGGAAAAAAAAAACAAAAAAACTTTCTTAAGCTTTGGTATATTACACTAACCCCCGCCAAAAGAGAGAGAGAACTGATCAAAGACATGTCAACTAAAACACTTTAATTCCGAGTGCCAAGAACCTACCCGAATCTGAGGTGTGAACCATGATGCAACACGGCTCCACCTTCCCACCCAACACTGCTTGGGGAGGGTATTCCTCTTGTGCCTGTCTTTGCTTTCCCCAACTTGCAGTCACACCGTGTCAGAGTCTAGAACAAAGAGAAAAGTTTTTTTTTAAAGCCTTATGGGGGGAAGGAAAGCTTACAATAACAATTATCTCAACTTTTGAAAATTATGACAATTGCAATATGACAGAGAGAGAGAGAGAGAGAGAGAGAGAGAGAGAGAGAGAGAGAGGACAGGGACAGAGATAGAGCGAGAGAGAGAGAAATCAGAACTTTGTTTACTTGACCCGGAGTATCAGTCATGGCTTCTTTGGGGGGCCTCTCTGGTTGCAGGCTTCTTCGATGGTTGACAATGGCTCGGACTTGTTGCAGAAGGGGTGGTGGTGGTGCATGATTTACAGTCTTTTCACTGTGGTCATATCGGTACTGTACTCCATCCACACAGGTTCCATGAGGACTATAGTTGAGCAGCTCATAATGGCCTGTGTTCTGTGCACAGATTACAAGATAATAGAGGCATACCATAAAATTTATGTGAAATATCAGTTTCTCACTTTGATTCTTTACTAAGAACAGCACATCAAACTAGTTAATAAATATATATATATAATCATATGAATTTCATCTGAACTTACCTCATCATAAAATATTGCTGCATGTTCCTGTGACACATAATTGCAGTGACCATAAGTTGACAAATCTACATGATTGTGGCTCCCTGTGGGGGGGAAACATATCTTTATTTATACTGTATTTATACATAATTATATAAAAACATATATATATATATATATATATATATATATATATATATATATATATATATATATATATATATATATATATATATATATATATATATATACACACACACACACACACACACACATCTCTCCTTCTCTCTCTCCCTCTCTCTTTCTTCTCTCCCCCTCTCCCTCTCTCTTTCTTCTCTCTCCCTCTCTCTTTCTTCTCTCTCTCTCTCTTTCTCTCTCTCTTTTTTCTCTCTCCTCTCTCTTTCTTCTCTCTCCTCTCTCTTTCTTCTCTCTCCCTCTCTCTTTCTTCTCTTCTCTCTCCCTCTCTCTTTCCCCTCTCTCTCTCTCTCTCTCTCTCTCTCTCTCTCTCTCTCTCTCTCTCTCTCTCTCTCTCTTTCTCTCTCTCTCTTTCTTCTCTCTCTCTCTCAATCTATCTTTCTTCTCTCTCTCAATCTATCTTTCTTCTCTCTCTCTCTCAATCTCTCTTTCTTCTCTCTCTCTCTCTCAATCTCTCTTTCTTCTCTCTCTCAATCTCTCTTTCTTCTCTCTCTCAATCTCTCTTTCTTCTCTCTCTCAATCTCTCTTTCTTCTCTCTCAATCTCTCTTTCTTCTCTCTCTCAATCTCTCTTTCTTCTCTCTCTCAATCTCTCTTTCTTCTCTCTCTCAATCTCTCTTTCTTCTCTCTCTCAATCTCTCTTTCTTCTCTCTCCCTCTCTCTTTCTTCTCTCTCCCTCTCTCTTTCTTCTCCCTCCCTCTCTCTTTCTTCTCTCTCCCTCTCTCTTTCTCTCTTTCTTCTCCCTCCCTCTCTCTTTCTTCTCTCTCCCTCTCTCCCTCTCTTTCTTCTCTCTCTCTCTTTCCTCTCTCTCTCTCTCTCTCTCTCTATCTTTTTCTTCTTTCTCTCTCTCTCTCTCTCTCTCTCTTTTATTCTTCTCTCTCTCAATCTCTCTTTCTTCTCTCTCTCTCAATCTCTCGTTCTTCTCTCTCTCTCAATCTCTCTTTCTTCTCTCTCAATCTCTCTTTCTTCTCTCTCTCAATCTCTCTTTCTTCTCTCTCTCAATCTTTCTTTCTCTCTCTTAATCTCTCTTTCTTCTCTCTCTCAATCTCTCTTTCTTCTCTCTCTCAATCTCTCTTTCTTCTCTCTCTTAATCTCTCTTTCTTCTCTCTCTTAATCTCTCTCTCTCTTTTTCTTCTCTCTCCCTCTCTCTTTCTTCTCTCTCTCTCTTTCTTCTCTCTACCTCTCTCTCTCTTTCTTCTCTCTACCTCTCTCTCTCTCTTTCTTCTCTCTACCTCTCTCTCTCTTTCTTCCGTCTCTCTCCTCTCTCTTTCTTCCGTCTCTCTCTCTCTCTCTATCTCTCTTTTTCTTCCTTCTCTCTCTC